TCACAGACCACAAAGTAGAAAATCATGGACACGTGAAACTAAATTCAGCCAGTAATGGTTTCACATGCCTGTCACCATATCACTTGATAGGCTGAGGCAGGAGGATGAAACTCCAAGGCAAGCATGGGTTACAAAGTGAGTTAAAGCCATCCTGAATTGCAGAGCAAAAACCTATTCTAAAAGTGCCAACAAAAGCATCATTTATTCAAGAATGAAAGAAAACAGAGGAAATCACAAATAATAAAAAGCTTTAACCAGAGTTCATATTTGGGAGTTGGAAAAATACTAAACAAATGAATTACAAACAGCATTATGTAAAAAAGTGAGGGAAACAAAAAAAATCAACCATATAAAATTGGCATCTCACTGTATTTTACATGCAATCAAAATTGTTCAACTGATCTTGAAAATTTATCATCAATAAACTAATATTATTCACAACAGGTGTATTTTGATTTCATTAATAAGAGCTTCCCATTTATTTTGTTTTCAATAAATGAATTACTGCAAATTTTTATAGTCCAACTCAAATTTTAAAAAAGATTGCTTGAATACTTCAGATAAGAAGCCAAACTGTACAGGGATTCAGGGACGCCTCCATTTCCAAGGGCAAGTGTATGATAGCTGCCTAAATGTGCCCAAAATATTTTCCATTATGTCCTCATAGCTTCACATTTCTGGTTTTTATTTGTCTTTTTCGTTTTTATCAGTACCAGGGATCGAACTCACAACTGCCTAGTTGCAAGGCAGGCGCTTATGCCGCTGAGCTAAATCCCCAGCCCCCAGCCTCACATTTCTGAGAGACTTTGGAATCTTACTCTGGGACTGTTTCAATGAACTCAACCTTATTTGTTTTCAAATTACTTGCTACAATTAACTCAGGTTAGACAGATGAAAAATACACCCTTACAATTCCCAAAACAAAGGAAGGGGAATTAAAAGGAATTAAGATATGCTATGTACATGCACCTGCCCATCACAATGACTGCAGGCAGAATGAGCTGCAAACATATGCTAATAAAATTCATAAAAAATTTAAAAGGAACAAGTAAATCCAGAAGTGCCAAGTAAGTAATCACAGGAACTTTTGCAAGTTTTTACAAAAAACATAAACACTCAGAAGACAAGGTCATTTGAGCCACATGACACAGACCTGGATTCCTGGGACCCTGGAAGGCCTCCTAGGATCATCCTGATTGAATCCAGTCATTCACTGAAACTACTCATAAACATAACAAATGGCTAGTTGGGCCTAATATACTCACATAGAGACTCCTCCTTTACAATGAGGAGCACAGCTGCACAATGCCTAGCAAATGACAAACTACTTGTGATCAGGATTGTAATGATCATTAAGAAAAGAGTAGTTTAAAATTATACCTCATTCCTTCTTTATAGGGATTCAGGAGAGTTCTTACCTTAAGAAATATTTTGATTAATTTGATGTATATGTGTGCCTACATACAGAGATACTCATTTATATGTGAATATGTATACTGATATACAAGAAAGAATGTATCAGAATTCATAGTTGAATGTACATGATTTGATGTCTTTATGGACTTAAATATGAGAGATTATTCTCAAATTTTGAAAACACCAAGAATTTCATATTCATGATATAAAGTACAATTTTTCAGATTGCCTTTCATAATAGCATCAGTTATGTTGCCTGCCACACCAAGATTGAAGTTCCAGGACTGCACATCTTCCACCAGTACCTCACAGAAATGAAGCTGTGAAGAATCTGATCTTTCATCCATCCTACCATGTTCATACTATGAGTAGGAAACAGGCTCACATTGTTAAAGTTCATTTGCGTGGTTCATGAAACTGAATCCCAAGCTCTCCTGCCATCCTTTGAACCCATCCTCCATTCTGTACATTATAGGCACTTCACAGATGAGCCCTGAAGTTTTAACATGATCAAGGGAGGATACACTTGTCAATGGGTCCATTCATTCCACCTGGTGAGAAATACACAGTGCAAACACAAAACAAAGTAATATGTTAACAGGATATTGCCACAAGATAAAACATTTCTTATTGACATTTCTTTGTTCATTATATGCTCTTTAAATACTAAAGTTCTGATGTTTTTCAAACAGGCAATTTTCAGACTAATTTAAACTTTTAAAATATTTCATTAAATGTTATTATCTGAATTAACAACATTGGTGTACCTCAAATTTTACACCCACCTCATAGGTCTTCTTTCTCTCACCTTAACCTTCCTGAGATCTCAGGGACTCCAGGAAGATGAATGAGTTTTAGATACCTGACATTTGGTCATCACTGTAAAGAGGAGGCCAACAGTCTGAAACTTGCAATTCATATGTGAAGGCACAGGACTTCCACTTACAAGAGGTGTGAGAGATTCTCATGATCAAAGTTGTGCCCCTGCAAAAGCCACATTCCTGAGAGAAAGAACACATGCCAGAGCCAGAGTCATAATAGGGATAGCATCTTAGCATAGCTTGGAAGGCTTGATGGCAGGAAGATGGGTGATAAGGAGCAGGAGGCTTTAAGGGGGAGAAGAACTCAACAAGTTCAGAGAAAAAAAGGCAGAGCAGATAGAGGGTATAGGGAGAGGTCAAAACTCACCACACATGTATCATCCACAAAGCCCGGGAAAAACTACATTCTGGAGCTGCAAGCATAGCATAATGCTGTAGGTTTTGCTACCTACCATGTGAAGGTCCTGGATGAACCTAAACAGAACAGTAGAAAGCAAAGGAAACAAGAGAGAGGAAAAGGGATTTGAGAGAATTGGAAGGAAGAGAATGGGATGGAAATAGAGGGGATCAGATTGGAAAAAAGGGAGGGAAGGAAAAGAAAGAAAAGAATAGAAAAGAAAAGAAAAGAAAAGGGATAGGAAAGGAAGAAGAAAGGAAAGGGAAACAAGGATTGGCAGGGAAGGGAAGGAGGAGAAAGGGGGAGGGGAACGGAAGAGAAAGAAAGGGAGGGCAAGGGAGGAAAGGGAAGGGAAAAGAGGGGAGAGGAGGGCAGAAGGGAAAGCAAAGCAAAGCAAAGCAAAGGAAATGCATGTCGGTCTTCATCCAGACCGGTCTCTTCTGAACCTTCTGGATGCACATCTAGATACCAGTTTTCAGTGTTACAAAACAACATTGCAAATACGTCATACAAGAACAGGAGGCACAGATAGATGCTGAGGGAAGACACTGAGTTTCAAAGCATCATGAGAAACCTGTGAAGAGTGACAGCAAGGGAGTAATATGATTATTTTTTGCTTTTGATTTTTTTTTCCTTTTTATACATTACTCTGGTTTCTGTATGAAGCAGAATCAGCCCTTGCCTAGGAATTTGTTTCCATGCATGTAGATCTAATAAGAAAAATCAGTACTTATCATGCACTGATTACATACCCAGCTACTATCCTGAGTAATTAATATATAGCATTTTATTATCCCTTAACAAAACATCATAAAAGCTATTAATATGCTCTTGCTCCAAATGAAAAGATGAAAATTGGGAAATGTTAAATAATTTACCTACATTCATACAATTTTAATCAATTCATTATAAGACTTTGCTCATGTCTCAGGGATTAGCTCCTACTCACCATGCCATACTTTCTGCTAATGCCAGAGAAAGGGCTATTCAGACAATGCATCCATCCTGCTAAAGGACAGTTACGTTTCCAGTTGCAAACAGAGATGTTGGCATATGTGATGATATTAGCATGACTCCATTCTGATCTAAATAACATCAAAATGCTCAAGAGTTCTAAAGCACAAGGTGATCCCATGATGCTGGAGAATTCTGTAACCACTGAGCGAATTATACACCCAAGTCCCAAACCACACACCAGCCTGACCACCTGAATGTCTGAGGATAGTAATCACTTCTACAAGAAAGAGCTGTGTGAATTTAGAATTTGTAGTTTCTAACTCCCTAAATGTTTACAGTATTATCCAACTCAGTATTTACTTCAGAGAGACATAACCACTTACATTCATACTAAGAAAATACTTAGTTACTCTTGGGAACCCACATGAAATATTCATAAATTCACACACTAAGATCTTTCTGTTCAACTCCAAGCATCTATGAAATGGATGCCATGCTCTACTGCAAATATTTTTTTTTTATTTTTCAGTAAAGTTTACAGAGGTACAAGTTACATAGGCTGCAATCTACCCATTCTGTGTATATTCATAAGATGTTTTCAGAAAAGTACAGTGATGTATCTAAACCCATATTTTGGTTAAAGAACGGGTCCAGAACCCCTGATACTTTGCGGGTTCCCATAAGCCCTTTTTCCTCAGCTTCTCTCATCCCAAACAGATGTGAGCTGCACATCCTCCTGCATGTGGATGAAGGATGCAGATTTTCCAGATTATCTGTGTCCACATTTCCTTTAATGGATATTGCCTATTTCTAGTGCTCAAATTCATATGTATTCTCAGTAGATAATAAGGCCTTGGAAGAAAACCACTGTATTGGGGGCTTGGGATTTAGCTCAGCAGCCTAAGTGCCTGCCTTGCAAGACCATGGTCGTTAGGTAGATCTCTGGTAGTGATAAAAAAAAATTAAAAAAAAAGAAAGAAAACCACTATATTTTCCATCACACAACAGCCAGTGTTCTTCACGGACAACACAGTACATTCGTGCTTCTGTTGTTGTCATAACTAGACCAAGGAAGTCAGGAAATAACTATTTCAGCCTGTATTTGCAGCACTCAGTATACTGAAGCAGGAGGATCACAGTAAGTTTGAGGCCAGTCTGAGAAACCTAGTGATCAAAACCAGCCTGGACTACATTGCAAGACCAAACAAAACAAATAAACAAACAAACAAATCACATTTAATGATAGAGCCTGAACGTGCTTGAGGAATCTCAAACAATTATAAATGATATATGAGACTCTTGCTCTCTCCTATATCGCTATGAGAAACCTAGATGCTCAATTCCTATTTAAAGTGAACACACTAATGAGACTAGTGAGCACCTTGTTTTCAAGGAGGCACAACGTTCTCCATGACCAAACGAAGAATTTTATTAGTTAATACAAACTGTGAAGACTGAAGAGCATGTGCTATTAAATAGAAACTTAAATTCATCATTGGAGGTAAGCACATTTTCTGGTTTACAGTTGAAGCAGAAAAGGATATTCAGTGAAAAATGTCACTATGGACAACTTTCAGAGAAATGAAATGCTGTTCACTCTGCAGATGAAGGAAAAGACCACCAGTCAAGGAATGAAAGGAACTCAAGGTACAGGAAAGGGCAGAGATAGATTCTGTCTTACAGTCTGTAAATGAAAAGTACCTTACAATATGTTTATTTCAGTTCTTGAATCTGGTATTCGATTTTTGTCCTATGCAAGTATAGCTAATGAATTTCTCATTTCAAAAATTTGAGTTTGTTAATTATAATAAAACAATACAAAACTAATACACATAGCTTGGCTGTATTTTCATATAGCAAAATACTTCAGAGACAAAGAGCCCTTTAACTTCTGCTCAGCTCTTCAGACTTCCTCATCCATCAGGCAGACACAGTCTCTCAGGCAGCAGGAGGAAATGTTCAAGCCCTGGGTCACACAGGGAGCAAGCAGGTGGGGAGACCTTGGCAGGAAGTTTATGTTCGAGGCTGAATCACTGTGGGAGGAGCACTAATACCCTGCCAACAGTAATAACTCGCCACATCTTCAGCCTGTGCGCCGCTGATGGTGAGAGTGAAATCCGTGCCAGACCCACTGCCACTGAACCGCTCTGGGATTCCAGATGCTCGGGTGGATGCCCAGTAGATCAGCAGTTTGGGGGATTGTCCTGGTTTCTGCTGGTACCAGCTTAAAAGATTCTTGTTGTTACCACTGTATAAAAGACTCTGACTGGACTGACACCTAATGGTGGCGCTCTCTCCAGGAGACACAATCAGGGAGGCTGGAGACTGGGTCATCACAATGTCACCACAGACACCTGCAATCAGAAATGCATAGTAATTACACACACACACACACACACACACACACACACACACACAGGCTTTATCTTATAAATATTAAAATACCGCATTTAAAAGCTGACACTAATAAGATTGCCAATTAGTATTCACTTGGTTCTTATTATTTCTCATTGCATTTTAAAAGTATAACTTTAAGTCTACAAAGATACAACTCTTAATGATTTTGGAGCTGTTCAATTTCTCACCAGAGACACAGAGCAACAGGCCCGTGAAGACCTGGATCCTTGACCTCATTTTGTTGCCCCTGACTCCCCGATGGAGCACAGACCTCCTTGCAAAGCCTTGTTTATAAAGTCTGAGAAGTTGAGCTGGCCCTGGAGGAGCCTATGAAAATTCATCTGTAAATAGGGAAGCAAATTGCATGGGCAGTGAACTATGAAAGGAACTATTTAAATCAAGATCCAAAAATAGTTTCACGGAAAATATAAGGAGGTGACAACAAAAACACAGTAGTCACTTCAGAAACTCTGAGATCATTTTAGAAACTGTAAAATTGCATATCACTATATGGCCTAGGACTGTGATCATGAACAAACACAGATTTAAAAAGATTGTGCATATTACAGGAACAATAGGCTGGCTGCTTCACATCAACACACTGAATTACACAATAAAATATGCTAGAAAAAAGATTATAAAAATAAAATAAAGGGGAAAGAAGGAAATATGATAGACACAGAGAAAGACAAAAGAAAGTGACTACTACTACAGAAGTTCATATTTTCTATGACAAAAGCAAAGTCTGTTTTCCAAAGCCATATTTATCCTGATACTGAGAAACACAGTACGTGCCTGAGCCCCAGTGTCTCCCTGTGCATGAGCCACAGAGCCAGGACATTTAAGCTGGGGGACTGAAGAGTTCCATGGAAGTGTGAATCAAGCACACAGATGACCCTGCTTTCCACAGCTACTGAGATTTGAGGAGAGGGATCCAAGAAAATTGGATAATGGATGGAGAATAAAAGGACAAAATTTACTAGGGAAACCATGGCTGCAGAACTACACTGCCTAATTTATATGCCAAAAACACTTGCTTTAGAGAATGTAGAAATCAACAATCCCCCTATTAGATTAAGATAACATTCCTGATGACCAGGTACCAAGTTTTAAAACCTCCCTGAAGGAAGACACGAACATCCTAATTCTTAATCAATTTGATCTCACTCTGAATTTTTCTTAAATAATTTTGTGTAATCCATTTCAAAATTTTCCTTAAGATTACTAGATATCATCCTATAAAAGAAATATACACTATGGGTTGAGGAAGCTTCTAATTTCCAAGGAAAAATATACAAAGGTGTGTGGAACTGTCTGCTTTCATTCTTAGTAAGTTATCGTATTTCTAGTTATTTAAACTCATAATGGGTTTTGTTTCTGCTTTAAGAAGCTGAAATATTAGTGCTCGTTCAAGTTAAGCAGACAGTGCAGAGGGTCTTAAAAACACAGAACGGTCATAAAAGTAGAGATCTCTGTCTTTCTCTAGATGAAGCAGACTTTTCCATCTGCCAAGTCCTTTCCAATAGAGTGTTCTTCTGCAGTCAATCAGTAAGCCCAGCAATGGACTTTACCTAACATTTGTTCCTAACAGCCTCAGTGTTTTGAGAGCACATAACCACATAAGATATTATATTTGTAAGAGAATATTTAGCTACCTATTTTTTGAAAAACCACAATATGCTAGTGACCAAAATACACACTGGGTGTGTTAGACTACTTGGGATAGCATAGAAATATTAGAAACTTATTGAAAATTACCTAGGTTTAACAGCTTCCAGCATGGGAGTCAAGAAGTCTGCAATGAGAGTTGCTCAGTAGTTCAGACTCAAAGCGAGCACCTTGGAAGAGGCCTAGGAGAAAGTCACGCAGAGGTCTGAGTTACATTGAGATACTGAAAGATTTGGCTATTTCTGGCTCTTTTTAAGTGTGGCCATTTCCTTTTATTTTGTGGACAGGTGATAGTGGTGGATCAATATGCTAGAAAGAAGAAATTTGGGAAACAGTTTTCCATGTTGATTCAGAAATACATGAACATAAAATCATGCCTGGCTCATTTTATGCATTAACAAAGGGGTTCTTGTCTTAAGAAATCTTTTAATTCATCTGATAGAGAAAGAGATAAGTGTAACCATGCACTCATTTAAAAAATAGTTGTCAGAAAATTTCATATTGCTATGAAACTATAGTTCCCGTTAATTGAAAAAGACAGTTTTCAACCTCGGAATTCTTTTGGCTTGAGTTTATGAAGCTCCTTTATGAAGTTTAGTCACTAAATCTACAAAAAGTATTGCATCTAATGCTTATTCTTAACATTCTTATAATTTCATTGGTAATTGCAGATTTCAGATGCTCTAAACTAAGTTCACTCCATTATGTTGATGACAGAAAACTCTGATGATCAACACTTGTGAAGTAGGATATGTTTCTTTCTCTCATTAGCAGGGAGGGAGATGAGTATCCTGACTTTTATCATTCCAGACATTGATCTGGATGAATGCATATGTATCCTAGGACCTCTTGAGCAGGAGGGTCACACGCACTGTGACCCCTACACAGATCAAGACTTTCAGACTAGGGTCTTTCTGTCGCTGGAGACAGCAAGGAATATATCTCTTTTGTTTTTCTCTTAATTCAAAACATAATTTATATTATTTGGCTTACATAAGAGGTATATATTCCTGGCCTTTACTCCTCCCATATCACTCAACCAGGGAATTCTATAGGGTGCCGCAGAGAAAATCTTTCCTTGCAAGTAGCAGATCTGAAAACTGAGAATGTAACAGCTGGTGCAGCAGGCTCACTTGCCTATGGACTGGGGAGGGTTGGTTATTAGGCTGAAACACTGTGAGAGTGAAGTTATAATATTGCTGACCATAAAAATCATCCACACCTTCTGCCTGGGGTTTGTTTATAGTTTGTGTGAAGTCAGACACAAACCCAGTGCAACTGAACCAGTCAGGGATCTGACATGCCCGGGTGGATGCCCAGGGGATGAGCAGCTTTCGAGCCTGTCCTGGTTTCTGCTGACACCAGGCTAAGTAGTAACTAGAGTTGTTGCTCTATAAACTACTCTAGCTGGGTCTGCTGTTGGTGTTAAGGTGTTAAAAGTCTTTTTTACAGCCACAGTTGGGGATCATCGTAGTATCACCATAGGCCGCTGCAACTGCAACTGGAAATAGATAAGCATCATCCACACACACCCTCTGATACACACACACACACACACACACACACACACACACACTCACAAGTAAATGCAAACAAGTTATCATGTGTGCATTATAATGTCTTGTAAAATTCATTTTAAAATGTTATTAAAAGTCTGAGCATAATTAGGTCCATACTGGGAATACTTTTTATCCTATAATATCTTTAAGATATTTTTCAACTATGCAAATATTTCTCTAAAAAGATTTCAGTACTGAGCTTCTCAGCAGATACCCACCGGAGCACAACAATGAGGACATGGGTCTGAGGTCCTACTTCCCTGACCCTGCTGCCTGATGATGTCCTTTTCTCACTACAAAGCCTTTGTTTATAAAACCTGGGCAGGTGGGCTGGGCCTGCAGGGACTCATACAAAAGGAGAAAGAGGGAAGCCAACCTTATAGACAGTGAACTGTAGAATTATGTGAAAAAAAATTCTATCATATGAACTGTAGTTATGTGAATAAAAATTACACAGCTGTCAAGTTATTAGCTTTATATTTAACTTAGAAAATAGTTGTAAACACCAGTGGATTTATTAAATGAATGTATTTTCTAGGTTAAAAATAACTTGAAATGGATATGGTATCCATTTATCTGAGGATCTAGTATCCTCCGATAAATAATTCTGGTGAAATAGTAAAACATAAAGAGAAAAGACAAAAGATTCAGAGAAAGAGAGAGGGATAAAGAGCTATGGATGGAAAGAAAGAACAAGAAATAGAAAGATAGAAAAAACAAAAGAAAGAAAGAAAAAAGAGAGAAACAAAGAAAAAAGACTAAAAAGAAAAAGAGAAAGAATGAAGAGACACAGAAAGAAAGAAGAAAAGGAAGGAAGGGAGAGAGAGGATCATACTTGAGGGAAAAGAAGAGGAACATCTTGAAAACAATGTAAAATAAATTTCTGTACTCAGAAAAATGAGACTTGAAAACATAATACAGATCACCTTCTAGAAACACAAGGGCTGAAAGAACACTTCATCAATATTTTACAAAACCAAAATGGTTATAAGTTCTCCAAAAAGAAGAAAAATTAAAGTAGATGAAGACTTGAAAACACCAAGAACAGTAACCAAGGAAAAATATACAACATTTTGTCATTTAACTTTTTAAATAACTGGTTAACTAGGTAATCATTATTGCAACAAAATATTATGGAGTTTATAATGTGTAGAAGTAAAAGGAAGTCAGCAAAATTTAAAGACTACCACCTGTAGCATCATGTTAAAAAGAATGCTAGTGGGGATATTTACATAAGAAAGCCGGATGGTACCTTAGACAGACTTGCAGCTGCCCACTGAGAAGGTCACCATCCTTTCCTGCCTCCTGGTATCCCCTCCGACTAGGTAGCACTGACACTCTCCAATCCACCAGAGTCATCAATCAGGATTAAGAAAACCAGTGTGTGACTCAATAGGCAAGAAGATTAAACACTTTGTTGAATTTTTGTTTCTAAGATTCTATTGTTATTTGTTGTGTTTTTATGTACACTTGCTGTACTTAATCACATGTACTCTGAGAAGCTGGCACATGTACTTGACTAATCTTAAGTATTTTTTAATTCCTCTTGCCCTCCTTTCCCTCCACTTCGCTCTATCTCTAGTTTCCCTACCAATTTGCAGAGGATTTATCTCCCTATTTTCTATTATGTCATACTTTGGTTTGAATTTATTTCCACTTTGGATTTCACATATAAGATAAGAAGATATTTATGATTGGGTCTCTGATTTATTTCGCATAATTGTCTCAACATGCCTTCATTTTCCTACAAATGACCCAATCCAATTGATGACTCAGTAGTATTCTATTGTGCATAAATGCTATATTATTTTATCTACTGATCCATTGACTGATGATGAATATGCCAGATGCTCCCAATATTTTGTGCTTATGAGTTGTGCTGCTCTGAACAAGCCTGTGCATGGATCACTGTGATATGATGTCCTGAACTCTTTGGGGGAAGACAACTAGAGCAGAAAGAGCGGGATCAATCAGAATTTCTATTTTTAGATTTCTGCAGACTCTCCATACAGAATTCCATAGTGATTGTACTAGTTGATATTTCCACCAACAAAGTAGAAAGGTTCATTTTTCCTCATAGATAAACTTATATTTGTATTTAGTTTCCTGATGACA